AAAATGGGATCATCTCACAATTGACTCTTCCACATACACCCCAGCTTAATGGAGTGTCTGGAAGGAGAAATCGTACCCTATTGGATATGGTACGATCGATGGTAAGTTTTACAGACTTGCCAATGTCTCTACGGGGGTACGCTCTCCAGACCGCTGTGCACATCCTTAATAGGATCTCGTCTAAAACTGTCCAGAAAACACCGTATGAGATATGGTATGGAAAACGTCCAAGTTTGAATTATATGAAAATTTGAGGTTGTCCAGTTTATGTTAAATTAGTTAAATCTGATAAGCTAAATGTTAAATCCGAGAAGGATCGGTTCATTAGATATCCTAAATATAGTTTAGGATATTACTTTTACTTCTCAAGTGATCAAAGAGTTTGGATCAGTAGCAATACGCGCTTTCTCGAGAACAAGTTCTTGGAGGAAGGCGGTGTTGGAAGAAATATTCTAAAGTTGGAACGTCTATTCAGCGAACTTCAGTATCAGATACTATTGTTCTAGTGCGAAAGTCTTCTAGAATATCAAACCTCCAAAGCAGATATAAGTTCCTACATGAGCAAGATTCTGAATCTTACTTAGTGGGAGTAAATGATCATGGTGATAATCCTAGAAGCTACGAAAAAGCAATACTGAATAGAGATTCAGGAAAATGGCTAGAAGCAATGGATTCTGAGATAGAATCAATGCATGCCAATCAAGTATGGTCATTTGTGGATCCATCAGAGGGAATAGTTTCTATAGGTTGCAAATGGGTCTACAAGAGAAATGTTGGCAAGGATGAAGAGGTAGAGATCTTTAAATCTCGATTGGTGGCGAAAGGTTATACTCAGAAACAAGGATTGGATTATGAGGAAACCTTCTCACCTGTAACTATGATTAAATCCATCCATATAATGCTAGTCATCGCAACATACCATGATTATGAAATTTGGCAGATGGATGTCAAAACAGTTTTCCTTAATGGGTTTATTGAGGAAAACATCTATATGGAACAACCGATAGGTTTTCTATCCTCTATTGAAAATCATAAGGTATACAAATTGCATCGATCTATTTATAGATTGAACCAAGCTTTAAGAAGCTGGATCATTCGATTTGATGACATAATCAAATCATTTGGTTTTGTCAAGAATCCGGATGAACCCTATGTATACAAAAGGGTTAAAGATCATGCCATCACGTTTCTCATATTATATGTAGATGACATACTTTTGATAGGAAATGACATAGGCATGATGACAAAGGTTAAAGTTTGGTTGTCTAAAACCTTCTCGATGAAAGACTTAGGAGAATCGACTTATGTCCTTGGCACTCGTGTCTATAGAGATATAACGAAAAAGGTAATTGGATTATCTTAGAAATTGTACATAGAGAAAATGCTAAAAAGATTTAGCATGGAGAACTCTAAGAGAGGTCTCTTACCCTTCACTCACTGTCTTCATCTTTCCAAAGAGATGGGTCCAAAGATCGATGAAGAGCTGCAGCGGGTGGTTAATGTACCTTACGCATCTGTTGTATGCAGCTTAATGTATGCAATGCTATGTATAAGACCTGATATAACTTATGTTGTAAGTGTTACGAGCAGATATCAGTCAAATCTAGGAGAGAAACATTGGTCGGTTGTAAAATCGATCCTTAAGTACTTGAGAAGAACTAAGGATCTAGTTCTAAGTTAAACATTCAAGGATACTCAGATTTTGATTTCTAGTCAGATATTGATGATAGAAAGTCTACATCATAGTACATTTTTATATGTAATGGAGGTATTGTTAGTTGGAAAAGTTCTAAACAGACAACCACAGCAGACTCCACTACAAAAGCTAAATACATTGCTGCTTCAGAAGTAGCAAAAGAGGCTGTTTGGATGCAAAAGTTTGTAATTGAACTTGGTATGGTTTCAAAACATGGCTTACCCGATAAGCATGTTCTGTGACAATACTAGAGCTATTGCACAGGCAAAGGAACCAAGGGCACACCAAAAATCCAAACACATTCAGCGCAAGTATCACATTTTGAGAGAATTCGTTGGAGCTGGAGAGATTATAATTCTGAAGACACCTTCAGCAGAAAATGTAACTGATCCACTGACTAAAGCAATGACACTAAAGCAATTGGACCATCATCTTGAGAAGATGGGTATGAAATACAACATCGAATGGCTTTTGTGTAAGTGGGAGTTTGTTAGTATATATTAGTGTATGCCCTAGAAACCATTTGTGTTGTCGGTTTTAGAGCATTTTGTCTTGTATCAATATATGATAAATAATAGAAGAAAAAGTTCTTCAATTCATATATATAAATTGCTTTCTTTATTCAGTCATCATTTAAAGTAAAGTATGTATATGAATTGTCCAGATGATGCATTTAATCGGTAAATGAATTATCAAAAGGGTTCCCTACAGAAGCAATATAATTTGGGCAACTATATTGCATAGTAGGCATACTGGATGCTTCCGAAATATATCATGAATTGATATAAGTACGGATGACGATGATTGTCATGTCACTGGGGCATTGGTATGGATTAGCGGTTGGTGAATTATTTTTCAAACGTGACCGAATAATGACAAATCACTTAGAAAAGCATGTAGTTAATGATTTATCGTTTGGTTATATTAGTGCACGATGTAGTCCTTTGACTTGAGACATTATGGTCAGATCCGATACGGATGTGTATAGTTCATACGGTGTATAAGTATGAGACTAGTCATGTTTCATACGATAAAGCCTATTTGATCATGCGTTGTTCATATGTGGAAACGAACAATGGTCAAGAAGGGATCCATTGACTCGGAAATATAGGATCATGAGTATCGCTGACTCTATTCGAATTCGAGTTCCTAGACGAACATCAATAGATGTCAAAAATCAGAATCTCTGGCCAGAGTCTATTATTAGTCATACGAAAGCAAGTTCGTGATGACGAGTTCTGGACATATTGATCGACGATTCGATAGAAGATCGAGTTTAGGATTTTGATGTTCCATGAATCTGTACTCGATCAAGATATATCAATGGAGGGACTTTACCTGCATGGTACATATGATTTGAAATGGGTTCAATGAAGTATTTATTCATCGTGGTTTAGGGACTATGGCACATTGCTAGATGTTTACCATAGTCGTTGGGCCTCCGAATAGGTTTTCGAATTCATCCAGAACAGCTCACGACTAATCCACGGTAGACCTACATGGTCACACCGATAGCCCTGAGAAGTTAGAGAAGAATAAGAGACAGAGACAGAGACAGAGACAGAGACAGAGACAGAGACAGAGACAGAGAGAGATGATTATCCGAAGAGGGCTAGCACCTTTCGAGGGTAATGACATGATTTCTATGATAATAGTTACATAGAAAATTATTTGTGACATTTTAAGGATTAAAATGGTTAAGCAATAATTAATTGTATTTAATTATTATATCTTAAAGTGTTAAGATAAATGAGATGAACTAAAATAACATTTTAATAGTTAAAGGGCAAAAGAGTAAACTTGGGGGTTGTTAATGTAAACTAGTTTAGTTTACATGGGCCCTTAAATAATATTGATTATTCAAAGGGTAAAATAATAAATACTTGGTCTCCTTTTAAAATAAGATTTTATTGGGGCATAGAAGTGAAAAACAACTAATTACAAAATGGCCCATTTATATATAAATGCAAATGGTTGCATTTTAGGTTAAGTTTTTCATTTGGTTCACTCAAAAGAAAAACAATCTCTCTCTCTCTCTCTCTCTCTTAGGGTTTGGCCACTCTCTCAAGTTGGTGTTAAAGTGTGGAGGATTCATCCTTTTGAATCTTGGCTTCATCAACCTTAAGCAAAGGAGAAGGTATAATGTTTTCAAGCTTTGTTTGAAAAAATTTTAAATCCTATTAATCCAAACCTTTCATGCTTTCAATCTACATTTTCTATCACCTCTTCATGGTTTTCTTTCAATAATGTCCAAGTGTGAAGAATGTCGACCAGACGTAAGGTCGATCGTGGAAGCTCGATCGAGCATGCACTCAAAGACTCACTGTTGAAGCCGAGCTTGGCGTCAGATCGAGCGATAGTCTTTGAAGCTCGAAACGAGCATCGAACACTAGGGGGTAGATGTTGTGTGTGTTCCGTCAAGCTCGGGTTAATGCGAGGATATAGCTTGGCCTAGAATGATCTCGGCAACTATGATTGATCGACCCAGCATAAGCTCGTTGATAGCTCGACCCAACACAAGCTAGTCACAGAAAATCCTAGGAATTAATCAATCAATCCTTAAATTACTTCAGATCCCAGCTATTGCGGGAATGATTAGATCAATAGTTATCGTTGCACGATCATAGCGCTCAATCATAAGGATATCAAAATTGGGATTCAAATCCTTTGTAATCCCCTTAATTTCGCTCTTTCCTTTATGTAAATCTTGTATATAAACTTCCTAAAACGATGAGGAGGGGGATACAAATTTTGGATTAAAATTACATTGTAAGTTCTCACAACATATACACAAAACACAATGGACGTAGGCAGTTAATTTTGCCGAACCACTTTAAAAGTTCTCTGTCATTTACTTTCTGGCATTATCATTCACTCATCGCTGATTACCCGTAATCATGCACATATTAGTTCCGACCTTGACAAGGTCGATCGAATCTTGCTGGTTAGTGCAGATTTTTGTATCAACAGTGTCAGAGCGTTCCCTTCTAGTAAACGTTTTTATATTGTTTCTGTATTGTTTTTTGGCCATGAGAATCTTCACGGTGTCCTGTGCATTAATGCATTCCTGTTTGGTGTTCTGCATTGTTTAATTTAAGCATTCAACAAATGACACCCTGCTGACAACCTACTTGAAGTGCCATAGAGCCATTGTGTTTATTCAGAAATGCTCGAGTCAAAGATATCATTGGCCTTAACTTGAGTCAAAGTAAAATCCTTTTGGCAGTCCATTGTTATAATTCCCCTTTCCATTTGGGGCTTTCTAAGGCCATATATAGAGATTTCTAACTCTGGCTTTCATCAGGCGATTGAAAGGAGATGAGCTCGCTTGGGAGCAGCGGAAGGTCTACAGATGGAAAGTCCAATGTCTCAGGACCAAAGAGTAGCTGATTCCCCTGAGCCACTGCTAGGTGCTCAGCTAGAGCACAATACTTCAGTGCTGAGACATTGGACGTATATAGAGATTTCTAACTCTGGCTTTCATCAGGCGATTGAAAGGAGAGGAGCTCGCTTTGGAGCAGCTGAAGGTCTACAGATGGAAAGTCCAATGTCTCAGGACCAAAGAGTAGTTGATTCCCCTGAGCCACTGTCAGGTGCTCAGCTAGAGCACAATACTTCAGTGCTGTCACCAAATCCAACTTTCAATAAGAAGCATTGTCCCCCACTCCTCCTAAGATTTTGCTTCAAATCATCGCAAATCAGGCTGGTGGAGAGTTAGAGTCTCTCACACCTCAGAAGAAACTTTTGAACTCAATTGTCAAAGTTGAGAAAGTCATAATGGAGGAATTAGGAAAACTGAAGAGGACCCCAAGTGCTAGGAAAGCTGAGAGGGAGAAAAGAGTTGGCACATTAATGTCAATGCGGTGAAAACTGAGAGCAGAACAGTAGATGCACACAGAATCCTCCAGATAAAGAGCAAGTTCATTGGAGGAATTGCCTGACCCCACCTCAGCATCAATAATATCTTGCTTCTCACCATTTCCAGATGTCCCTAAAGGACTAGCGAAGTGATATGTTTGCTGTTTCTAACAAGTAGTACTACTTCCTCTTCTCCCTCTTCCCAATGAAGCTCTTTTTTCCTTCTGCATTTGCATATGCAACCTTGTAAATAGTTTCTTTCTATGAAAGATGAAATGGGACACTTGAGATTGAATTCCCATTTTTTATCCTTGTAAAATGTAGTCAATTAAGCATATGTTTCATAAGGATAACATAGTCTTTACACAGAAGGGTGCCCTGTAAATAAAAATGAAGAAATGGGGAATCCCAAAATTGAATAAAATCTTTTTGTACAAATCTGAGTTTAAGAGTAAATAAGTTTCTTTACAGTTTACTATCATGCAATTCTGTTTGTTTTAATTGAGAATGATATTTCGTTACGTTTTCCATTTTGCCTTCCTGGATCATTTGCTATATTAGTGCTATAACATGAATGTTGCATAATAAATGAAAATGATTAATACATTAATTTTCACAAGAAGGGAAAGACTGTTGTGATTTTGTTGCTAAATAAGGTTTAAATTTTTTGTGTGGCTGCCTTTGAGGCATTCTGTCTGCTGATGAAGTTGTCTGATGACTCTGATTTGCACAGTGTTTCATTGTCTCCTGCTGTAACATTTACAAGCAAGATTCTTAATGGCACTTGGAGTTGCTCAACTCGGAGTTTTCTAACAACAATGGAAATTATTTGGTAATAAAAGATAAGAAATTAAGGTGAGAGTAAAAACATAAATAGTAGCAAAAGAAAAGATGGAACTCCATACCAAGGTCTTCTGAATGTATAAAAGTTTTCCCAAATTTCTGAAACCTCTTGAATTAAGGTGTGGGTTGAAAATACAGTTTTGCCTTCTGAAGTTCTATGGCAATGCAGCAAAACCTTTAATATCTTCAGGTTTCCTTCACCTGATTTTGGGCCTTGAGTTGTTTTTGTTATATGTTATTTTTAAACAATGGGAGAAAGCCAATGTTCTTATTTGTGTTCTATGAAAGTGTTAGCTTACTAGTATTTTTCTTGCACACTTTAGCATAACTTGTAGCTTGAAGCATGTAGATTTTCGTGAATAAATCATAAATTCTTTAATTGTCTCAATATACTTCAATTTAATCACAAATGGGGTATTTTTATCACCAAAATAGAGTCACTTTCATGACTCTAACACCTATCTATTTTTTTTTTACAAGGAGAAATTTTAAAATACTATAAATTTATGTATCACATCACCCGTATCACAAACCAATAAATTTATGTGGCTTTAGAATTTTCTTTATCTCATTTATCTTTATATTAGATATGATTTATAGTTACCACATCAAGAATACTACAACGATATCATAGACGATCTCAATTCCACTAACTTAGGGGTCAAAGGATTTACATCAACCAGCCCTTATCTTTTATCATCTTCATGAGCTGTCCTACCCGTTACTATGAAGGTTTTCAAAGAAGCTAAGCACTTTCCAGGGAAGTTCTCTCGAAACATAACAAAACCTCATTGGCATGTTGTCTATCAGAAGGTATATTTACCTCCTTGACTTGGCTTTTACTTTTCTTAGACTGTTAGTTTACTCTCCACATTAAAAAATAAAAAAATCAAATCAAATCCTACTTGTTTTCCTGAATATAAATGCACTTAACTATTACAATTAGTATTGCAAACTTTGATATATACTTAGGAAACATAACATCATTCAATGCATGCATCTATATGAATTATGAATATTAAGCAACCATTTGTAACCACAATTATTTAAGTAACAAAGCTGTAATTAATAATGGGTTAGTCGTAATAACCACCAATGAAGTTTCGGAAAGTGTGTTAGATATTCAATTTAAAAGTATTATACTAAACCACCCTGAAGCTAACATTGTTAAACCTTTTGTAATATACTAACATGAAATAACTTTTTTGGCCCTAAAATTTATACTTTGGTCTTTAGATAATCTTTCCCATTTTTGGGACGTTGAGCATATGTTGGATATATTTTCACTTTCACCCATTTAATTTATTTTCATGGCGTCAAAGACTTGGGCTAGTATATACAATACCTCAAACTTAGCATCTAATTATCAATTTATGAAGGGATGAATGTTACAATTAACCCAATTGATAATTAACGTCCCAAAAATGGGAAAGATTATCTAAGTTGAAGTAAATAAATAGTATGTCATCATATGTCCTAAATAGTATAGAAACGTACCCCATACGTGTTATCGTGACATTAATCCAGTCAGGGATCTTTCCATTGAGCTTATTTCCTGTAAGTAACCTACAGAGGCAGAAATTCCAACGTAGAGTAGTAAAGCCAATTTATAATATGAATAGGAATAATATATTTCTACTGTCGAGCCAGTCGTCACAGCCACAAAATTAAACCTAAATACCGTAGTTAGCGGTAAGCAGGGTCAAATCCATAGAGAGAAAGACTAACAGCCTAATGTATATTTGAGTGGCGGAAATGAAATTGGCAATTTGATTAATTAAACTAAACAAACTAAATGCAAATAATAAAAGCTTGAACTTAAAACTAATGAAGACTTTATAATAAAAATGTTGCCGCTACGGTTTTGGTTCGACACGAGACCAACTCACACAATTCTCTTCCACCCTCTACGATCCCCCAAACCTGCAAGGCAAGGTAAATCAATGAAATGGCTTGCCGACACTCTAGGTATAATCTATCCTGTCTCACCTGATCACTCAAGTTCGATTGGTTAAAGACTTCATTGATGGCCACAAACACTACAAGACAATACCACTAGTTGGTACGTGATTAACAAACACAATTTGTCAACACGTATCATCCAATCAACCCATTTCACAATAAATGCAACAACAGTAGAAATGACATTAAATCCGAACACAACTCAATTACAATCAATGCGAAGCAATGAAAAGCAATATTCATCATTTAATTATCTCAAACCAACGTCTATCATTCAGTGAGTTCTATAAAAACATTAAATCACCATGGACAACTATATTCATCACAAATTATCCTCAAACTATATTAAAGTATCGAAATCAAACATGAAACGAAAACAATTATAATTCGAAACACAATACTACCAAATGTCCTACAATCGGGCTCATCCAACTAGTCGAGAGCTGATGAGGAGAGCAGTGGAGTCAATCTCGATCTCGCCTATGCCATAACAGACAACCGGGAACTCAGCCGCTAATGGTGGTGTCGACGGAGCCTGGAGCGGTAGAAACAAAACTGGTCATGGCGGAGAGGGGGTAACCGACAGCGCGATGATGTGAAGAAGGAGCGAAAATGACCAACGGACAACCCAAAATACAAAGGAAAACTGGTATGACGTAATTTTACTAGCTTGCAAGAGTCACAAAAAAGTGGAGTACTCAGCTTAAATTCTGAAGACGTTTGCTGTTTTGAAAATCCAGAAATTATTTTTTGTATCTAGGATGAAGATGACCTAGCCGCTTATGCCATAATATGTAATCATGATATTCTTTACTAGTAGTTAGGCACATAGCATTATCTCCAGAAGTAGTAGTAGTGTTATCAAAATTGCGAGCAAAGATTGCAATGGTAGAATCAACGAATTATTAACAACATCAATATGAGATTGAGAAGTGGAACAAGTAGCAGCTATATTAAAACTGGAAGCATTAAAATTAGTAGTAGTGGAGCTGTCTATAACAACATTTTGGCAGTGAGGAGCAAGTATCACATTAGAATTTTCAATAAGCAAGTTATTGGAAATTTTCTTAGTGTTAAGCTCATTACATGAAGAGACAATTGATGGAACTGTGCTGTCACCAGAGTTTACAGTAAAAGATTGAAATTTATTGTTTGAGACATTAGAAGCCAAAGGCTTACAAGCAATTGAACACTTAGCTTTTGAAACAGAGCTAGACTCATTCTTATCATTCATTGTAGAGGCATTAAACTGGACACTAGAAACCAGAGGCTGACAAATAGCAGGACAGTTTGCTTCTTGAACAAAATTGGACACACTCTAAATATTCATCACAAAATTATTAGGTTGAGACAAAAGATTGGTGAGACCAGGAGACTGAAACAAAAAAGCAAATAAGGGTCTACGGGGATTCGAAGTGAGTGTGGATGGGATGTGTAGTTGATACAACCCTCCTTTAAGTCCCCCTTGCAGCAGAACTCCCTTGGTTAGCTTGTCCTTAACAACATAAGAATTGGCATCAAACTCTACAATTACATCATTATCTTTGGTAAACCTGATACGCTAAGCAAATTCTTTGTAATTTGGGGCACAAATAGTATATTTTTCAAATGTAAACACTTTGTATGTAATTGACTTGGTAAAAATGAGTAAACTATATGAGAAATATTGAGACACTCACCATTGCCAACTTGGAGATGATTGGTACCTTAATATTGCTTGTTGGCATTTAGATTTCCCAAGTGAGATGTGACATGATCAGTGGCCCTTGAGTCCATGTACCAAGCTGGATCAATTAGAGTCACTGTTGTAGTAAGAGCAGTAGGAGAAGCATGTTGAGTGTGTTGACTATGATGAAATAGGGAGGAAAAATGATGAATAAAAGTTGAGCCAGTAGCTGCAAAATGAGCTTGAGCATCTGATCTTGCTGTTTGTTGACTGGGAACACTAAAACCAGTAAATTAAGCTGGATTAGTAGTGCCAGGCATCTGCGGACCAGATATACCAAAATTTGAGAAAGAAGGGACATTGCTTCCATTTGGAGAATGGAAGTGTGACTAATAAACTGAAAAGTTCTAAGGACTAGCACCAATTGAATATGAAGCGCTTGTAAAGAAAGATCTGTTCTATCCACCAGTATGAGGAGAGCCATTATAATGTGATAGAGCATTGCTTGAAGGTGAAAAGGAACTAGTATAGGTTGCATTGAACCTATGATAACACTAAACGACAGAATGACCTGTTTTATTGCAGACTTGATAGATCAGTCTGTTTCTTCTATTGCCTCTTCCTCTGCCATGACCATACACCACAGAACTAGGAGATCAAGTGTTAATTGCATTGTTGTCATATGGTATATATGAGGATGAAGTTGGAATAGTGTAGGTTTGAGGATAATGAGGGCTCCTAAGAGATATCAACGAAGGTACACTATTGTGAACAGAAGGCTCAATAGATTTGGTCATGTGTTGA